AAGTTTATGCTTAAAAACCAGACTAACAGTAAGTGCTCGACATCTGCAGAGACTCAACTGTCCTGGCCAGAAGGGACTTTGGCAATCAGCGGCTGGCAGTGCCCACCCCAGGCTGGGCCCCAGCGCTGTCTGGGCGTTTGTTGAGAACGGGCACGGTCCACGCCCGAGGCCTGCTGGCGCTGAGTTCCGGGCCTGGGGTGGAACGTCTGCTCTTTGACTCAAGATAGAGTTTATACACGGCAAAAGGCGCCGGGCTTAGCGTGCAGCTGGATGACTTCTGACAGTGTACACCCATGCAACTACTGCCCAGATCGAGACATAAGACACTGCCGTGACCCCAGGAAGTTCCCACGTCACGTGCCTTTCTTCGGTCCCTTGTTCTGCTTCCTGTCACGACGGGTTCGTTTCGCCTGTATCACAAGCTGCTATAAATGGAACTGCAGTGTGTGCCCTGCCTTTGCTTGTCCATGGTGTCGCCCGTGTGCACAGTTCCTTTCCTTCCCGGACCTGCCGAGTAGCAGCCTGTGTGTGGACAGGTCTCGGTTTATCTGTGCACCTGCCGGCGGGCACCTGGGCGGTTTCCTCCTTGGGGCTGTTACACGCAGAGCTGCTGGGAACATCTGTGTCCCACTCTGCGTGGCAGCTGTTCCCCTTCCCCCATAAGTGCCCGGAGTGGGAGTGCGGGGGTCACGGGCGGATGTATTTATTTTCACCATTTTCACCATCTCTTGAGGTGCCGCAGCTGCCCATGTGGGGTGGGATTCCCCATTCTGCTCCCTCCTGAGCCGGCTGCCCAGGTGAGAGGGCCCTGGAGGTTACCAGACCTGCTCTGGGTCACAGAGGGACCGTTTTCCTGACGCATGGCCCCTGAGTCGCTTCACATCTTGATTCACATTTAGCTTTGAGAGCTGAACCGACTCTGGGTGGTCTGTTCTGACTAACGTCTTCTGTTCATACCAGGGTTAAAAGCCCATGGAAGAAACACAGAGTTCTGGCTGCTGAGACTTCAACCAGGTTCCACGCCTCCCTTCGCCCTGTAGTCTACAGACTGAATGCACCCATAAATGATATCACTCACAGTCCTTCCTCTAAACCCCACCGGGGACCTCTAGGGTGGCAATGCCCATTTAGCAGAGGCAGAGAGCAAGGTGGTTAGAGTCAGCGGTGGTAAGAATTCAGATCTGTCTGGGTGGCCTTAGGCAAGTTCCTTTACCTTTCTGAGCCTCAATTTCCTCATCTGTAAAATGGGCACCCCACCAGCACTACCTTGTGATATGGGAGCATGTGACGTGTATAAAAGGAGGTGGCAATGGTAGTCTGAGCAGCAGATGGGGGTGAGGATACAAAGGGAACAGTAACATGGGACCCTGCTGTTATCCAAGGACCCCTACCTTACGGAGGTAGGGATTCTTGCGCCCCACTAGAGACTTACAGAATCAGAATCTGGGGTGGATCCAAGATCTGATTTTTTTGAGGCAGAGTCTCACTCTGTTGCCCGGTCTACAGTATCGTGGTGTCAGCCTAGCTCACAGCAACCTCAAACTCCTGGGCTCCAGCAATACTCCTGCCTCAGTCTCCCGAGTAGCTGGGACTACAGGCATGCGTACCCATACCAGCTAGTTTTTATATTTTTAGTAGAGACAGGGAATCCCTCTTGCTCAGGTAAGAACTCCTGGCCTCAAGCAATCCTCCGACCTAGGCCTCCCAGAGTGCTAGGATTACATGTGTGAGCCACCCACAGGCCGCCTTCCAGCTCTGCCCCAGGAATTCCTGTCCCTACTCACCTAGCCAGGCTCCGGCCTGGCCACACACGTCTCCAGCCACGCGGACCTCATGCGGCACGGTGGGTCAACTCAGCAAAGTTCTAATACCTTTGCAAGGCAGGCGTTACTGAGCCAGGGCTGAAAGTTCTGGTTCTGCTAAGGAGGTCCTAGGTTTGACTCCCAGCTGCGTTACTTCCTTGTTGGTGGGATGAACCTGAGTGTGTTATTTCAGCTGGGCCATAAAAAGGGTTTAATAAGAAGTAGTGTCTCTCTAATGGAGTTGCCAGAAGGAATCAGCAGCTAGTGTGGTAGGGCATTTAACACAATGCCAGGTGACAGGTCAGGACTGCTCCAGTGCCGGGACTTTATCCTGCTTTCTCTGTAGGTTGAGGGGGGGAGGTGGTGACTACTGCTAATCTGGGAAATATCCTACAACGTATGCTAAGGCTCTAACACCAGTTGCCTCCCACCAGGGTGCAAATCAGGCAATCTTAAGAAAAAAAAATTTTTTTAACATAAAATGCTTAACAGAAGCACAGAGAGGGTCCTAGAGAGGACACTCCTGTTTTTGCTTGCTTTGGAAATAACAGCTTCTTTAAAAGCACAGTTCAAAGTTAATGCTCTAGGCTGGGCATGATGGCTCATGTCTATAATCCCAGCACTTTGGGAAGCCAAGGTAGGAGGATCGTTTGAGCCCAAGAGTTTAACACCAGCCTGGACAACATAGTGAGACCCTCGTCTCTAAAGAAAACAAAACAAAACAAAAACTAGCCAGGCGTGGTCTTATGTGTCTATAGTCCCAGCTACTTGGGAGGCTGAGGCAGGAAGGATGGCTTGAGCCCAGGAGTTTGAGGCTGCAGTGAGCTATGATGCTGCCACTGCGCTCTAGCCCAGGTGACAGAGCAAAACTCTATCTCAAAAAGTTAACACTCCCTTTCTTTATCAGATAGCCTGGTGCTGGAGGCACTGTTTTGACATCCCGAGGAGCAGGTATTATGAAACCTTTCAGCTTGCTTTCTCGGAAAAGTAGCTTATTCTAGCAATGCTGACCACAACCATGGCACCGAATGCCAAGATGACAGACCCCAAAAGAAAGACAACTGTGGACATGTTTGGCATGTGGTGAAAACTTCAAAGATTCCAGGTTTAAGAAAGGGTGTTTTTAGATAAAGCAGGGCTGGAAGTTGGAAAGGTCTTGCGCAAGAAGATTTGTTCTTCTTTTAACGACTTGGAGTTTGTGACAGTTGTGGCCTAATAAAAAAATAAACCCAATGACGCGCCCGTACCCTGTTTATATAAAACATATTGCTGGAATGTGAACTGGTAATGGCAGAAAAGGCTCTCAAGTCTAGTGTTTCATGGATGTCAGGAAACAAAAAAAAACAACTTCAAGATTCGCCAATCTGGGGTAAGGGCCGCAGGTTACCAAGAAGGAAGGACTGGTCGGCCCATCTTCACCTACGTCAGCATGTCCTAGGCACGAGTTATTGAGCTGGGATTAAGCACAGTAACACTTCACGTGCCAGAAGTCTGGTGCCACGCACCTCTGGTCCATTCGGGGTCCTTTACCACACCCTCCAATGGGGAAGGGGAGGCAGGGTTCGCCCGCGCTATTTTAACGAGGATGGAGTACCGTTTCTCCGTGCTTCATCACAAGGGGATACATTCTGAGGACCCCCCAGTGGATGCCCAAAACCAGTACTGCCCGGACAGTACTGAACCCTGTGAATACTATGGTTTTGATCTGATGACCTAGATGGCTCCAAAGTGACTAAGGGGCAGGTAGCATCTATGCTGTGGGTCTGCTGGACAAAGGGTTGGATTCACATCCCGGGCAGCATACAGTAGGGCAGTGTGAGATTTCATCACACTTCTCAGACTGGCACACAATTTAAAACTTGTAGAAGATGTAGCGGGCGCGGTGGCTCACGCTGTAATCCCAGCACTCTGGGAGCTGAGGTGGAGCGGATTTGGCTCGAGGTCAGGACGTTCGAACCAGCCTTGAGCAAAGAGCGAAGCCCCGCTATACGTATAAATAGAAAGAAATTAATTGGCCAACAAGATAGGTATATAAAATTGTAGCGCCGGGGCAGTCGTGGCGGCCATGCCTGTAGTCCGCAGCTACTCGGGAGGCTGAGGCAGCAGGATGGTTGAGCCCAGGAGTTTGAGCGTTGGCTGTGAGCTAGGCTTGACGCCACGGGCACTCCACTCACTAGCCCGGGCAAACAGAGTGAGACGGGGTGTCTCAAAAAAAAAAAAACAAACTTAGGGGAAATTGTAGCCCAGGGCGTGGTGGCTAGACCACTGTATCCTGCGACTCTGGCGAGGCTGAGGCGAGGATTGCTTGAGGTCAGGAGTTCGAAACGCAGCCTGAGCCAAGAGCAAGGACCCTGTCTTACTGAAAATAGCAAAGAGAATTAAGTTCGGCCAACCTAATATACGTAGAAAAAAAAAATTAGCCGCGGCATGGTGGCACATAGCCCTTGTAGTCCCAGTACTCGGGGAGGCTTGAGGCAGGCTCTGCTGGAGCGCCCAGGAGGTTTGAGCGGTTGCTGTGAGCTGGCTGTGATCCACCGGCAACTCCACTTACCTGGGCCCAACAGAGTGAGATCTGTCTCAAAACAAAAAAAAAAAAAAAGGAAATTGTTATTTCTGGAATTTTCCATTAAAACTTTTCAGATCAAAGTTGACCATGGGTATCCTGAAGCCACAGAAAGCGAAATGGCAGACAAGGGGTGGGGGAAACTCCTGTAAATCGTATCACATCAGAAAGGGTAAGTCACTTGCCCAAGATCACAAAGGCGATACGTAGTGGAAGCAGAATTCTAACCCACGTCCGTCTGGCCCCAGAGCTCACTTTCTTCTCCACGTATCAGAAGTTTCAGACTTGGCTGGAGAGCTGACTCACCTAGACAGCTTGCTAAAAATCCAGGCTCCTGGGTGCCACTGCTGGACGGAGTCCCACCTGGCAGGCCTGGGCTGGGCCTGGGCATCTGGGTCTATTAGGTTCCCTAAGGGGTTCTGATCCAACTGACGGTCTGAGCAGGGGGTTTCTGGGACGGTCCACATCTGTGCCTGCCAGAAGGTCCTACGGTCGAGAGTTGGGGAGCCCCCAGCAGAGCCCCAGAAGCCACATGTGGGCTCAGGGCGGTGGTTCTGTGGCAGGGACTGACTCCTCTCTTGTGGCCGGCAGTTCACGCTGTGGCAGCTCGGGTAAGCTGGAACTGCTTCTCCCAGAATCCTCTCCCCTGGCTGTTCTTCCCATCGTCCACTCTGTCCTGCAGGCCTTTCGACTAAGGCAGTGGATCCAGGAGTGGTCCCGACCCCCAGCATCAGCATCGCCCAGGAGCAGGTTAGAAATGCAAGTCCTCGGGCCCCACGCCAGACCTACTGAATCGGAAACTGGGGGGCGGGCAGCAATCTGCGTTTTAACAACGCCCCCCCCCAACACACACACACAACCCAGAGGAAGCTACACACAATCCAGAGGATGCTACACACAACCCAGAGGATGCTAACACAAGCTGCTGAAGTCTGAGAACCACAGTTCTGGGAAAAGACAGAGGTGAAGGGTTACGTAACACCGTGAACATGCTTAATGCCATTGAGTTGTATACTTAAAAATAGTTAAAAAAAAAAAAAATACTAGGCCAGGTACGGTGGCTCACGCCTGTAATCCTAGCTCTCTGGGAGGCCGAGGCGGGCGGATCGCTCGAGGTCAGGAGTTCGAAACCAGCCTGAGCAAGAGCGAGACCTCGTCTCTACTATAAATAGAAAGAAGTTAATAGTTGGCCAACTAAAAATATATAGAAAAAATTAGCTGGGCACGGTGGCACATGCCTGTAGTCCCAGCTACTCGGGAGGCTGAGGCAGGAGGATCGCTTGAGCCCAGGAGTTTGAGGTTGCTGTGAGCTAGGCTGACGCCACGGCACTCACTCTAGCCTGGGCAACAAAGTGAGACTCTGTGTCAAAAAAAAACAAAACTGAGAAGCCACATACAAAAGGTCACATGTTGTACGATTCCATTTACATGAAATGTGCAGAGAGACATCGGTGGTTAATGGTAGCGGGGCGTGGGGGGCGGACCATGGAGGTCACTGCTTAATGGGTACAGGGTTTCTTATTGGAGGGAGTAATAAAATGCTTTGGAACTGGATAGAGGTGGTGGCTGTACAACACTGTGAATGTACTAAATGACACTGTTCAGCGTAAAATGGTTAACGCTATGTTGTGTGGATTTCTTGTATCTGTGAGCCGTGGCATTTATTGGGGCACCATGCTAAGGCTTCACAAACACAGTGTCATTTCATCCTCACCCCAACCCCGGGAGGTTGGCATTATTATCCTTCCCATTGAATAGATGTGGAGCCCAGGCAGTCTGACTGTAGAATCTATGCTTTTAACCAATATGCCATTATGCCCAGAACAAATAGTTATTTCTTTGTGCAGAAGACAGAAACCAGGCGTGAGCCAGAGCAGCCCTGGCTGATGCTTAAGTCTCCCGGTCACTTGGCTTCACCCTGCCCTGAGTCAGAGGGCGGTGGGGGGGGGCAGGTGGCAGTGGAGGGGGGAGACTGGCTTGCTCATGGGTCATAATCCCAGGCATTCTGAGATAAACCCCCCTGCCTACCAGATGTAGTTGGTTTGCATTTGGTGTGAACTTATCATAATGGAAAGATTTTCAAAAATAATTATGATGGTAAACCATACCAAAAAGATATATTGAGCATGTACTATGTGCTAAGTACTTTTTATAGTTTTATCTTCACAGAATCCTAAAACTATTATTGTCTTCCCATTTGGAGAAATTAAGCAATGGCCCGAGGTCACTGAGGTCATCAGGGCTAGGATTTGAACTTAAATCTGTTACTTAAATACAAAATAATACATCTTCCTCCGTAGGAAATTTAGAAAGTACAGGTTAGAAAAGAGAGAGAGAATAAAAATATTTTGTAATTCATTGGCAATAATCATTGGAAACATTATAGTAAATATTCTTCAAATGTTTATTCTTTATATATTTTTCGAAACGAAAAATGGACAGGCTTTGTAATCTGTCTTTTTACACTAGCAGAGTAGGACCGTCTTTCTATGTCTTTCAGAGTCTTCTCCGTCACCGCCACTTTGAATGGCCACGTGGTGTTCCCCTGTGTGAATGTCCCACAGCTGATTTTCCAGAACTTTACACTGGACGTTTGGGTTGTTAACACAAGAAGACATTTCCACTGGGAAAAAGCCATTTTAACCAGGTTGGTAAAATTTATCAAAACCTCCTCCCTGCAGTGAGCAGCAACAGGGGACAGTCGGCTCTGGAGGGTGGACATTTGCTAGCAAAGACCCCAGCGCCAGGCAACAACATAGCTGATTTATTGGGGCAGGGGAGGGGCAGGCTCTCAATTTTATGTGCTGAACCTACCCGAACATTCTCACCTAAAGACAAAGCAAAAATGTCTCTCCGATTTACCCATCTCGCCCCTTAGAACGAAGAGCTTGAGTCCTTGGCAACGAGGAGGAGCAAAGGTTCTCACCATAGTGTGATGGTTGAGAATGCAGACTGTGGAACCACACTGGCTGGGTTCGAATCCCAGCTCCACCGCCGACCAGCTGTGGGGCCCTGTCAATCAGCTCACCAAACCCCTGGAGAGGAAGTGCTCAAGACGGAAAAAGCCTGGGTCCCTGCGTGACTGCGTGGAGTCAAAACCCTGCCTTCCTCACCCAACACATGAAACTGTGACCAGAGTGTCTTAAGCCCCTGAGATATGGGACCATTTGCACAGTAGCTAGTGTGCTCCTGCCTCAGTTTCCCCATCTGTCATAGAACTCTCTGAACATGAAATGACTTACTCTAGGCTAGGGTGACGGGAAAGCTTGGTTGTTCCCCCTCAACCATCAAGGATGCAGAAACATCTGTGACTTTTATCACCAACCGGACATGGCTCTGCTTCCCAGGAATTTCACTAAACTCTTCTTGAACATTTTTCATCCTGAAACCCTCTTGTAGGAAGCAAGTTTGTGTACTCCTCTCCGTAAGAAGTTACAGTAACTCACTCATCCAGGGCAAGAGAATACACATGTTCTAAAGCTGCCAACATACTTCCTCACGCGCGATGAGTCAGTACAAACACACAGGCGGGGCGAAGAACCCAATGAACTTCACCTCTCTTGGCTCGGCCAGGCACAGTTCCTCTCGGCCCACGACAAAACCGTGGAATCAATGGCTCCGCCAGCTTGCAACCATAAAACTAAGGACCAACAATACGTAAATTTGGAACTTACGTATTCTGATTGATAGCTAATTACACATGTATCCCAGCTAATTACGCTTCTATCTAGCAATTATCTATAAAAGATTGCTTCTCATAACTACTAGCTGTGGTTCTTGCTTTTTTTGTTTGTTTGTTTTTTTGGTGCATAGAACCCTTTGAGAATCTGATGACGGCTACTGACCTGCCACAGAAAAATGCTGAGATAGAATGTTCCACATGCAATGTCAGGTGGTTTGTGGGTCCTTAAAGGTGACTGAGGACCCTGATGTGAGTTATGACAAGTTTAAAATTACTCAATAATTTCATAATGATCCTGACATTTATTGCTTTGATTACCAGGAGAACATCTAAAAGCAGGATATAAAAGCATCACTCTATGCAGAGACTATTTCTGGACATGTATATTAAATATGAGAAATTGTGAATGGAGGCTGCCTCCGGTATAAGGCACTGAGGGGGGCTGGAATGAGAGGAGGATTCATACTTTTTCATTGGATATCCTTCTGCAGTTTATTTATTTTTTTTCCATGTGCATGCATTACTTTCCTAATTAAACAAAGAGTTAAGTAAAAGTCATTTCAGTGAAGAATTATACACGACCCATTGTTGCCTGCATGTCTGCCTACCCAGCAGGGTGGGTCCCACATCAGCCGGCACAAGGCAAAGCATCAGTCCAGGAGAGATGAGGAATCATGTCTACTGGGTCTTCAACACAGGTCATTAAAAGTTCCAAATGGGAGGGGAGGGTGAATATTGTTTCATGTGTGTGTGTGTGTGTGTGTATGTGTGTGTGTGCGCTTTCTGGCCAGCAGCATTCCTTCTTTGCCCCATTTCTCAGCCCCAACATTCCACTTTCCCTTACTGACTTGAGAAGCTCCTGTCGTTCAGAAAACCACCCCTTGTCTGCCATGTGCTGCCAACACTCCCTCCACGTACCATCTGAATGCATCCAAGTTTTAAAATTTTAGGAGTCTAATCTATTGATCATGTTCAATAATTTCTTTTATAATTTTACCTCTTACTGTCACGCTGAAAGAGCCCCTTTCTGAAAGGGGCTCTAGAAACTTCACATAGGGGAAACGTGGCGGTCACCACCTTACCCCAGAGATCGAGGCTGACACAGAGAGTCCTGTTGATAGTATTAAATCAAGCCAGGATGCAACCGAGAAAGACACTTCGCCCCTGTGGGCCTCTTTCCTAAGCCCAAGGCTCTGTCCAGTCATGAGAAGCCATCAGAAAAACCCGAATTCAGGGACATTCTACAAAATACTGACCAGTGCCCTTCAAAGCTCTTAAGGTCATGAAATTCAAGGAAATACTGAGAAACTATGGCAGACTGGGAGAGACTAAGGAGACAGGTGGTATCTTGGATTGGATCTGGGAGAAGGAAGACAGCAGGGGGAGAACTGGTGAGATCCAAATGAAGCCTGTAGCTTAGTGAGCAGTGGAGTTAATGTCTTAGCTTCGATAAGGTACAGGATGGTTATGTAAGATGCCAACACGAGGGCAAACTGGGTGAATGGTGTCTGGAAACTTTCCGAACTATCTTTGCAACTTACGTTAATCCCAAATAAAACATTTTATTTTTTAAAAAAAAGTCCTGGCTAGGACTGTTGCTGGACACATCATCGGTTTCTAATTTTGCTACTATTATTTTAAAAAAAAAAACAACAGTGTTGAAACTAACTCCTTACCTTGTTTCCTCAGTATAAAATCCTGGAATTGAAGTTATTATATTTTTTAAAGCTTTTGGGCAGTCTAGGAAGAAAAGCAGAAAGAACAAGAAGGAAAAAAGCCAGCAAAGTCCCTGGCTGGGGCGGGGTAGGCGGGGGTAACAGGAGGATGGTGGACGGTGGTTCCAGGTGACTGATACCGTGGGGGAGGGGCGGGTGTCGCGGGTGGGGGAGGGGCGAGGCAGCAGTCTTTGAGCTTTGACAGCAAAGGAGCTTAGCTTAGACTAGATCCTGCAGGCAGTGGGGACGCACTAAAGATTTTAGTTCAGTGCAGGACACGGTTATTGATTTGTTATCTTACTTGTTTGTTTCCTAGTTTTTCGACTCCTCTCTGCTGCCCTCAAAGGTATAAGCTCCAGGAGGGCGGGGACCACATCTCTCTTGCACCCCACACTGTTTCCCCCCAAAGCCTAGAAGAACGCCTGGCCTGTGCACAGAACTCAACGAGTATGGCTGAATGAATATCCGAGGCTTGTTTCCAAAATGACTTTTTTCCCCCAAAGTTTTTTACTGTGATAAAATATACATAACATAAAATTTACCACGTTAGCCACTTCTAAGCGTACAGTTCAGTGGCATTCAGTTCATTCATAGTGTGCCACCGTCACAGACCAACTTTCACCTCAAAGAACGGAAACTCTGCACCCATTAAACACCAACTCCCCCCCCCCCCGCCCCCAGCCCCTGGCAACCACCATTCTACTTTCTGTCTCTATGATTTTCACTATTCTGGTTTCCTCAAGTAAGTAGAATCAATCGTAGTGTTTTTCCTTCTGTGGCTGTTCATTTCACTTAGCATAGTGACCTCAAGGCTCATCCATGCTGTAGCAGGTGTCAGCATTTCTTTCCTTTAAGGCTGAATAATATTCCATTGCGTGGATGTACCACATTTTGTTTATCTACTCATCCATCAGTGGGCATCTCGGTTGCTTCCACATTTTAGCTATCGTGAATAATGCTGCCATGAACGTGGGCGTACAAACAGCTCCTCAATTCCCTTGAGTATATACCCAGAAGTAGAATTGCTGGATCCTATGGTAATTCTATTTTAACTTTTTGAGGAACTGCCATACCCAAAATGACTTTTAAGAAGAAATTATATAAAAGGTTTTCTCCTACCCCTGCCCTATATATCTGGTATCAGCTCTTGTGAATTAAGCTCTCTTATACCTCAGGGCCTTTGCACAGGCTACTGCTTTGGCCCAGGACACCTACTGCTGCTTAACTTCCACTCCCCTTTCAGATTTCATCTCAGACTTCACTCTTCCTGAAATTTCTTCCCAACTCTCAAGTTAGGGTTAACCCCCCTCCTTCACAGCCCTGGGCTCCCTCATCCCTTGTTGGGGGAACAGTTATGGCACATTCACTGCTGGCTCCCCCACGGGGGCCCTTGTTTGTCCCCAGTGCCTGGCGCAGTGTGTATCATGTACCAGAACATTTCCATGTTGAGCCGCAGAAGACTTCCCTTGAAACAGGAGAATCTGCATCTGTCACTGTTTGAAAACAACAATTACCCAAAGGCATTTCCAGTGCGTAATTGCTACCCTCCAAAGTGTAGTTAATGAAGCTATAATATGTGAAGTTTCTTAGGATAACTTAGGAAAGTTTTACTTACAGTTGGTTTTCTGTTTTTCTGTTTTTATCATGTGCCCCCACCTAATATCAACAAGCCACGCCCACACCCTGCCCAACATGAGCCGGCCTGTGCACCCAGGGACCTATTTAAGGGGAAGGCAAGTAACTTCTCCTTCTCTCTCTCCAGGCCAGATGTGAAGAGGAAAACATGGCAAAGACTTAAAATTCACCAAGATTCAGAGCCACCTGGTTCTATATCTTGAACAGAGGACATGGCAGAACCTTCTGGCGACATCCAGAACTGTATATCCTGTGAGATCGTGAGCTTAGAGAAAGGAACTTGCCCACTGCAGTGAGTTCTCGTCCTGTTCTACCAGGGTTTGTTGGGTGACCTTGGGCCCTTTGTCTCCAGGGCCTCTCAGGCCAGGAGACAGGCCCCGGAAGCTTCCATTGTAAAGTTCTGGGGCATTACAAAAAGAAGGAACAGGCCGGGGGCACGGTGGCTCATGCCTGTAATCCTAGCACTCTGGGAGGCCGAGGCAGGCGGATTGCTCGAGGTCAGGAGTTCGAAACCAGCCTGAGCAAGATCGAGGCCCCGTCTCTACTATAAATAGAAAGAAATTAATTGGCCAACTAATATATATAGAAAAAATTAGCCGGGCATGGTGGCACATGCCTGTAGTCCCAGCTACTCGGGAGGCTGAGGCAGCAGGATTGCTTGAGCCCAGGAGTCTGAGGTTGCTGTGAGCTAGGCTGACGCCACCGTACTCACTCTAGCCTGGGCAACAAAGTAAGACTCTGTCTCATAAAAAAAAAAAAAAAAAAGGAGTAGTGCCTAAACAGGGTGGCAGCAATGGGATGTCTTTGAAATGCAGGTGTCGAACAGACTAATGTTTTGTGCACCTCACCCATAGAGAGGGGGTTGCTGGCACCACAGTGACAGGCTTTATGGTAAACGTTCATCTCTAGCGCACACAGCAGCGTAGCCCACAGGGCACACGGGCTGCACGGCAGTTGTGGGTTTGGGGCCAGCTGCGCTAACACTGGCTTCAGGGCTTCACCTGGAGAGGTGTCACAGGTCTGCATTCGGAGACCCTCGTCAGTGTCAGGTTTGAGTGCCACCTCCTCCCTGCAAGGGCCTTTGTATTTTGTGGCCTAAGTTGCTTCTTCTCAGAATGGAGGTGGCTAGATTAACAATGGCTTCCAACTTTCTGTTTCATTTTTAAAGTCGCAGAATCTTTTTAAAGGGGTCTTTTGCACGCGTCGCATCTGGAATGTGTATACGCGAAGCTTCTGTCTGCCCGGCCCTGCCTCCCGCCACCCAGCTCTGTCCCAGCAGGGCCCTGAGTTGCTTCTGGAACCCGTCCCAGGAATCCCAGCGTTCCCAGGATCACAGTATAAAAACCAGTGGACCGGAGCCACGTTGCCCAAGGTTCGTACCATGCAATTAGGAATACATTTTATCTGGTGACTCACGACATACCCACAGACAGATAACTAAAAAGTTTTGCTATGGAATACTTTTCACAACAGAAAACACACTTTATTTTCTAGTCTACTTTCTTCTATTTCACTTTTAAGAAACCAGTGGAAAACCACTCAAGTGATGTAAAATCCTGCTAAGAAGTTGCTGTCCATAGTCTGTAAACATTAACTTAGCAAATCTCCAAGATCGCTACTAGTACTCCCAGTACTGAAAATGTATTATGGCATTCACGAAGCTGTGATCCCATTAGAGGGTGCGACACCCCACCCCAGGAGATCCCGTCCCCAGGGTGGGGTGACCCACCTGAATCACCTAACTAGGAAACACATTCTCTCGACATCTTTGCCATGGACACCAGTTCTCCAAGAGGCAGGGCTTGGAGACGAGCAAGACAAACACCCAGTGCCTAATCCCGGGGAGATTTGGAGCCAGGGGTGGTGACGGGTGGGGTGGGGGCACTAGGCTGGGTCAAAACAAGCACAGCAACAAATCGGAAGAAACAAAGCTCTCTCCGTCCCTCTGTGTGAACTCTGAGTCACACCCATCCTACCCAGATATCAGATGGCTTCCATTTCTAAGAGTCCGGTGAGAATTAGTTTTTGCTTTAGATTTTGTAAATACAGTCCTTACCCAAACACCCACAGTGATGCGGAAAAATGACCCCCTGAAGCCCCGACAGTGGTGAGCAAGAAACTTCTTATGCGCTTCGCATAGCGTTACAGGATGTTGGCCCGGGGGAGTGCCCGGGCTGAGCCAACCCCAAAGGCTGGCCTCCTAAGTACCTGCTAGCCATCATCAGGTGGTGGTGGCACGTGAGAGCAGCAGGTTAGAACCCGCAAGAAAACATTGTCACATGAGGATAATGCACATTGTGATGATGAAGAAAAACCAAGACATGAAACAGCAAACAAGCAAACAAAAAACCTGAATAAAACTTCACAATATTGGCAGCGGTGGCCAGCATGTGTGACGTCACCCTCCTAAGTTTTTTTTTTTTTTACAATGAACGTGTTCTTCTTTTGTCGTCTGGGGAAGAAAACAACTTTAAAAGCCCGTCCATCCAGAGGCACATCACGAAGTCTGGCTAAGGGAGTGCCAAGTAAACACGGCCGCTAGCTCACTCCCGACGTCCACGCCAGTTGTCCACGCCAGTTTGAACCGACAGGACCCGAAAATGTCAAGACACACTCCTCGACGTGCACCCCTTATCTGCCAGGGCCCTCAGCCTTCACTCCTCCCGGACATGCCACTGCCACTGCGGATGCCCCCAAAATGCCTGGCGGTATGGACCAGTGCAGAGAGACGGAGGATCTTGGACAGGGAGAATGCTCTGTTTTTGTTTTCCAAGAATCATCCTCAAAATCATTCAAGACAGAATCGGGAACTTCAGGGTCTAGTCCTGGCTCTGATCTCAGCCAAGTCTCCTCCCTTGCCTGGGCCTCAGTCTCCCCGTTTGTCAAATAAGCAGATTGGACTTTCGGATGGCTAAGGTCCCTTCTGGCCCCAATAGTCTAAGGCAACCAGCATTCAGGTTCAAGGGCTGCCGAGTCTGACAGATCTAGGGCAAGAGAGAATGAGGTGACTCTAGGTTGCTTGGCCCAAGCAAACAACACAGATAGAAGGTGAGGGCCCCCCAGCAGCGGGGAGCTGAGGGGAGGGTCAGCAGAGACCCTCAGAGGCTGTCTCCGGCCGGTGGCTTGCAGCTGTCTGAGATGGGCAGGGCAGCCTGAAGCAGAGAAAACCAAACAAGTGGCCTGTTTCTTCCAAACAAGTGGCCTGTTTCTTCAGGGAGCAAGAGGTCCCAGGAGGGATGGCCGTGGCATAAGTGCTCAACCCAGGAGAAAGGAGAAAAAAACATTCCCACACTAGGCTGGGCTACCTGTCCAGGATGGGGAGGAGCAAGACTCTGTGAAGCTGCTAGAAAGACTGAGATGTTGAGAAACCACCAAACCTGGGGCCCAAAAAAGCCGTTGGCCTGAATGTGGCCAGGCTTTCTGGGATGATGTAAAGGACCCCAGAGCGGAGTCTGGAGGGCTGGGTTCCAGGCCCAGTTCTGCTGCTGATCTGCTGGGTGTCCCTGGGCCAGTCCTTTCCCCTCTCTGAGTTTCTTGTGTCAAATGAGGATGGTGGCTCTGATGACCAAAAGGTCCCTTCCACCTGAGACATTCCTCCTGTCACCTCCAAGCCAAGGGAGACTTATAACATGGGGGGGGGGGCACTCACATGGCTTTCAATTGCAGGAAGTCCTGCAAGCTTCAGAGCAGAGACAACAAAAGTGAAAGCAAAAGTCAGCGGCCAGAAGCAGACCCTTGACCGCATCCCCAGTGAGAAAGCATCCGAGCTTGTGGAACTTTCCTGACACCTGCAGAGACAATGCTCCTCATTCCCTTGACTCTCACCTTAATTTGGAGCTGGAAGAAGAGAAGCCAAAAGCTAAAGCTCCTTGTGCTCTGGCCTCCTCCAGCCCAAGAGGTCTGCGGGGTCTACAGGCAGCCCTGCAGGGAGGAACCGTGAGCTAGCACAACAGGAGCAGCGTCCAGCTGCCCTCTGTGTCCGGCTTGGCTATTCCCCACACAGAGAAACCCCCAGGCCTTCTGACATCTGGAGCCAGAGAGCTGGAAGGCCACCGCTGGAGGGGCTTGGGTCCTGCCAAGAGCCCAGACACTCACTACCTCTGTCTGGTAGAAGAGAGGGCCGGCACTGTGGGCCTCACACGGAATCTCCGAACCTCAACCTTGACCCGTGGTCACATGTGAAGGCCACGTGTCAATTTCTGCCTCCTGCATGGGCCACCCATCCAGCTGCCCTCCCCACTGCCTCCACCAGCTGGCCGGCCGGCCTGCTCTCTCCCAGCAGTCTTCTCTAAGGCCCAGCCTCCAGGTAGCCAGAATTATCTTCTTAAAGTGTCGATCAGATCGGATGAGTCCTCTGCGTGGAGAACATGAATGAAACGTGCATCCCTCTTTGTCTTTCTTGTTCATCTGAGCACCTGGGACAGTGCCTGGCCCACAGGAGGTGTTCAGTCAACATCTGTCCAGTCTGGCTCATTCCAGACCCTCCACTCCCTGTACCTGCCCCCCCATCCTCCCACACACCCTCCCTCCACTGCCAGAGCACCTCCCCTGCCCCACCACACACCCATCGCATTCATATCTCTGTGCTCGTGCTTGGCTGTTCCATCTGCCCAGATGCCCTTCCTCCCCTGTCTACCGGACAGACTCCAATGCGCTGTTGAGTATTCCAGCATTCTCTTAGCAGGACCTCCTGAGTTTCTTTCTTTCTTCTGCTAAGTCCTGTGACATAACTTACTACAGAGTATTTGCTATGTGCTAGGTACACATACACCACGTTGTCTTAGGAAGTTATCAGCCCATTTTACAGATGAAGAAACTGAGGCTCAGAGAGGTCAGCTCACCCGGCCAGCGAGTGGTGTGGCCTGACTGTATCAACAACTCCCTGTGACGCTTGTCACTACTGTCTCTGCCTCCCTCACTAGGTTGGGAGCCCTGGGAGACCCCTATGCCCTGGATACCAGGGGCAGATCTGGCCCTGGGCGACGCCCCAGACACTCCGATCAGGGAACCACTATCAGCTTGGGATACCACGAGAAACAGATTCACCAGCAGCCCTGTCCCTTTCTCTTTCTTTGGTCTTTTCTCCCAGTCCGAGGGTAGGGACATATTTGGAAGGAAAGGGGTCCCCTCCCAATCCCTTTGGCCCCATCAACTTAACTTGTGTGACAAGTCTCCAAAGTGTGAACGCCCTTCACAGGTCCCAGGGCCCATCTCTCCCTAGAGAGATGGAGAGATCCTCCAGGTAACCCATTCAAAGCGAAAGCCAGAAGCCAGCCCTGCAGGCGCAGTCCCTCCTCCTGCTGCCCCACCCCCACCGACCGGCCCCGCCCACCCTGGCCCGCACACCCGCTCCCGCAGGGGCTGGGGCCCCAGCGCCGACCACCCGCGCTGCCAGGAGGGACCCCGAGCCACACACACAGTCACAGGCACGCAGAGCACGGCACAGGGCGCCCCGCGGCTGCTCCGGGGGAGCCAAAGGGGTCCAGGTCTCCTGCCCCACCCCTGGTGGGGAACGATTTCTTTCTGAAAGTGAGCGTGTTATAATTCAGAGCTGGCACGCCCTGGCCACTGTCCTCGCGTCCGTGCGCGACTTGAGATCTGATTTGGAGTCTTCTCTCCCCGAAGCCCAGTAACCTAACTTACTGCCGAGAGGTGCCCCACTGCGCCCTAGGGCGCTAGCACTCCCATTTTACAGATGAAGAAACCAAGGCTCCGGAAGGAAAAACTCAAGTTTCACCTCTCTTTGCTCACGTCCGATTCCTCACCCAAGCGTCTGCTTCTGCGGCGTAACACACGCACCCCTAAATCCCTAAAAAGCCTCGATTTCCAGGAAGGAGTAAGGGACAGGGAGGACAGCCCCAGAGTGGTTTCCTGGGACCCACTGGCAAGTCCGCTCACTCGGACCGGCGGAAGGTGCCCCTACCGAGGCCAAAGGTTCGAAACCCGCCGGGCGGGTGGCACCTGTCCCCGCCAACAGGGGGCCCCCAAGGCCGGCTGCCTACCCCGGCCCAGGCCCCTGGCCCCGCGCGGGGTGCAGCGCCCGTGCGGCACCGGCGGGGCGCGGCTGTAGAGGGCGCGGGGCGCCAAGTCCTCCGGGTGGCAGACCCAGGGCAGGACGCGCCCCGGCGCACGGACAGACGACCAGACGGCCCTCGGCGCCCCTCCCCGGCCCTGGGGGAACCCACAGGACTGCGCGGGGCGCGGCGGCTCAGACTCACCCGGGAGGCGGCTGATCCCGCTCCGTCTCCGCCGGGCGGCCCGGGGCTGGGGGCTCCGCGAACCCCGCCGTCCCCGGGCTGCCTCCTCCGGGGCGCCGGGATCCGGGAGTCTCGGAGAGGAGCGCGGTGGCGGAGAGGGGGAGCTGCCCGCTCCGGGATTGGGATGGGGACGCAGGAAGCGCGGCCTGGGAGCGCCGGCGCGCGGGAGGGAGGGACCGCGGGAGGGAGGGCGGCGCCGGCCGGGAGGGCCTCCAGCCGGGGAGGCACCGCCCACCAGTCGACCCTCCCTCCGCGCCCTCTGCGCCACCCCCAGGCCCGGGGCACCGACCGACGCTGCGGGGGGCGGGTACCCACTCCCAGCGCGCGCCGCGGGAGCGGGCTGAGCGTGGGGGCTGGGGGCGGGGCCTACGTCCCCCGCGGACCCTCGCCTTACCCAGCTGGAGGAGCGGGGGTGGGGGGAAGGGAACAGAGCCCAGCCCCCCTCCCCTGGGGCCGGAGAATCGGGTGAGTGTTGGGAAGGGGCGGTTCTCAGGCCCGGCGTCCCGAGTATTTGGGGGTTAAGTGGAGCTGGCGGACGCCCCTCCGTCCCTGCCCCCGCGCGGCTGCAGCGCCGGCGGCCGCGCCCTCACCTGGCCCGACGCTCACCTCGCCTCCCTCCTGGGGAGGCCGCGCTTCCCCCTGCGCCCTTGGGCAGGTTCGGGCGCTGGGGCCCGCCCATGCCGCCCAGGACTGGTGCCCTGCTAGGCGAGTGATGGACGGAGGTTGGGAAGGAGGAAGCGAGTTTTTGAAAACTGAGTCAGTTCATGCCCTCGGCGCGGCTCCCCACCCTCTCCGGGGTCCCCCGGGCGCTCTCGGGGTCGCGCGCGAGCCCCGGCCCGGGTGGAGCCCGTTCGGGTTCCTGCGCTCTGGAGCGGAGCGGGCGCCCTGGCCGGGGGCTCGCCTGCTGAGGCTCGTGCCCAGCTTTGCCGAGAACTTTCCCAGCGAAGCGCCGCTGGCTGGCGTGTCCCGCCCCGCGGGTGGCAGGCGGGTGGCCGGCCGCTGCCAAGTCCTGGCCCCCGGAGGGCGGACCCGCGCTCGGCCCGGGCGCCTCTTACCTGCGGCTCTGCCTCCGCCCTAGCCGGGCTTCGCCCTGGAGCTGCCGGCCGCGCTCCAAGTAGGGTGCGCCGGACTCCGGACACCGAGGGAAGAGCCCGCCCCGTCCCCTCGCGACCTTGGAATTTTGAATTCCAAGAGAGGTCAGGCCGGGGGCCCCTTCTCGGGTGAGTGTCCAGCACTTTGAAGTTAAAACCCTGAGAAGCCCGAACGGGGCTGGCTGGTGTCGGGGCAAGGAGCCGAGGGCGGAAGGCGCCTCCTGGCGGGAAGCCGTGGCCTGCGGGACAAAAATAGGCCGGCTGCGATGGAGATCGCTTCCAAAATGCACATGCATGGGCATGCTGTGTCCACGCGTGCAACTACAGAGTTGTAACACGCAGGTATTTTTTCCCATGGCTCTTTTTTTTTTTAACTTGCACAGGAACAGTTCAACAGGACCCTGGTGTTCACAAAAGGCAAATTTGGGGGTGGGAAGACATTTGAGGAAACAGTGTCTTTAACCATGACTATTACAGGAACTGTTAGTCCTCACCTCCTTACTATGAACCAGGCAAGGGGCGCCACCCACCTTCCCTGAACCATCTCATTTAATGCTCATAACAACCCCCGAGGCGGTTACCAGTTATGCCCACTTTGCAGAAGACAAAGCTGAGGCTTAAGGAGGCAAGGCCATGTGCCCAGTGTCACACAGCTGAACAGTATCAGGGTCTAGACCCAAGCTGATGGACTCCAGAGCTCGAGCTCTACCTGCTGTAGAACAATTCCTCTTCTGTCTGCACATGCTCTCTGCCCTGCCTCCTTTGCCTGGCCCCCTGCAAGTGCTTAATAAATGTTTGTTGGATGAACGAATGAAAGCCCCAAATATTAATAATAACACACTATTTTAGCAAATGGGGAGACCCCTTTGTGTAAGCAGGGGTGACATGCTCCCATTTGAGAGCTGCGTGTACTCATCCCAGAGTTTAGCTAAGGCATTTGGGAACTTTCCCAGGCTCCAAAGGAGTGACAGGAAACAGTCATGTAGTTCTCAGATAAGCCCAGGAATCTGGTTTTCATTTCACTCGGCAAGACCGAACCTTGGAGAGGCCTGGACCCGGGATGCTGATGTCAGAACCAAGGGCTGCCCTAGCTCCTAACCTGGAGGCGAGGAGCTCCAGTACTTTTCCACGCCAGGATCATCCCAGACCTGCCCCCCTCTGCTGCAGACCCAAGCCTGCAGGCCCCGTCTATCTCTGAAAATCATCTTCAGAGTGTTCCTTTTAAGCAGGCTTGCCCTGGCTAATCTGGAGAGAGGCTGGAGAAATTCTCAGCCAGAGCTAAGCGGCAGGCAGAGCTGAAGAAACTTGACGGAGGAAGCATGTTTCTCTTTCCAGAGCCCTCTCCCTCTGCACGGTTAGTTTCTCTGAACCTTCTTCCCAGGTTCTCCATGTCCCATTGAGGAACCTGACACAAGTTAACTGCCAACTTATCCCTGTGTCGACTGACAGGGCCCTGATAGGTGTCCTTGGGGAAAAGATCCAAAGAAATGAATCTTAAATGGTGGAGTTTCTATTACCTGTTATCATAATAGGCAGTGGGGAGGAAGACAGTTACCATTTACTGAGCCCCATGTCTCAAATGCACTGCATGCATTGTGTTCATTTGATCCTCCCAACAGCCCTAGAAGGAAGACCCTATTGTTCCAGTTTTTCAGGTGAGGCTACTAAGACTCACAGACACATTTTGCACCTGGATCTGCACTGAGGGTCTTTGCAGGGCCCTTGCTCGAAATCAGTATGCTGGAAATCCCCGTGTGATAGGCAGAATAATGGCTGCCCAAAGATGTTCACATCCTAATCCCCAGAACCTGTTGCCTTACATGGCAAAGGGACTTTGCAGACGGGATGGAGTTAAGGATTTTGAGATGGGAGGCTGTCCTGAAGTATCCTGGTGGGTCCAGTGTAGTCACAAGGGTTCTTACAAGAGGCAGGCAGGAGGGTCGGAGCCAGAGAAGATTTGGTGACAGAAGTAGAGGTCAGAATGATGCAGTTGCTGGAAAGGGGCCATCAGCCAAGGCACGTGGGCAGCCTCTAGGAACTGGAAAAGGAAAGGCATGGATTCTCGGCTAGAGCATCCCGAAGGAGCTCAGCTCTGCTGACACCTTAATTTTAGCCTACTGAGACCCATTTTGGACATCTGGCCTCCAGAACTTTAAGATAATAATTTGTATTGTTCTAAGCCATGAAGCTTATGATAATTTATTACAGCAGCAACAGGAAACTAATATATCCTGCAAACTCAGGCGGCATGTAGGCAGATGTTTATTTCAGCTGCCTTTTTGGCTGGCAGCCCCCTGTAAAGCTCTTCTCTTAAGAGGCACCATGAGCTAGCCTGCATCACGGATTTAGAAAGAAGGCAGGATTCCATCAGGTCTGTCTTTGGTTTCTGAATCCTCTGCCGATTGTCAGTTGCGTGACCTTGGGCAGTTGTCTTTTCGTCCCTGAGCCTCGGTTTCCTCATCTGTAAAAACGATGCTAATAATACCTACTTTGTAGGACTAATACAGGGTCGGGTGAACCAGTATATGACAAAGTGCCTTGTAAATGACCCAGTGTTGTCCGAATATGAGTCCTGCAGGGCATTAGCCTGTCCAGTTTTGAAAGCCTGAATTTAAGAGGAGATTATGCTGTTCTGAGTATTCCCCCGGCATGCATTTTCATTCGCTCTAGCTGAGTGGGCAAGTAACTATGGTATTTCAAAATAGTAGACTGTCCCTGGCCTGTGCCAGACCCCCCAGTCTGTCATTTCCAGTCTTACCAATGAAAGTGAGGCTGGAAAAATCTACTTGTGTTCCAACTGTCTCAGGCCCCTCATCTGCAGAGAAGCCTCCCCGTAGTGACACAGCAGAGTGGATGGTCTTTGTACCTACCTTCATACGTCCTCCATCAGTCCCCAACCAAAAATGTGTCGGCTGTAACCAAACCTTTCATGCAGATAATTGTGCCGCGTGGGTGGAAGTTCCTTATCATACTATGCTGCCCAGGTGGCAGTTGCCTTTGTCTGTGACACTTGGAGCTCTTTGGATGCAGAGTTTGCAACTTTGGCACTAGTGACCTTTGGGCTGGAGAACTCTGCTGTGGGACTGTCACTGCAGGATGTTTAACAGCTTCCCTGCCTCTACCCACTAGATGCCCAGTAGCACCCCCTTCCCCAGCTGTGACAACCAAAATGTCTCCAAACACTGCTAAATGTCCCCCCAGGGGAGGGATCGCCCTCAGTTAAGAAACCTGCTTTAACCATTGAACACAGGACCCCCTGCATGTGTTTTTTGTTCCAAAGTCGAGGCCAAGGAGGACAGACAGCAAAATACAAGTTAGAAACTCAGTGCCTGCAAGTCAGAAGATGTGGGCTCCAGTTCCAGTTCTGTCACTTCCTACCAGTGTGACATCGAGCAAGTTGTATGGCTTTTTGGACCCTGAGTTCCCATATGTGTCTTGGGGATAATAAATGAGGACAAAGATTTCAGTTTGTTTACTGCTGAATCCCCAATACCCAGACTAGTCCATGGCACATAGTAAATGCCCAATAAAAATGTGCTGCCTGAATAAATCAATCGGACCTCCCACCCAGGGTTTCTGCAGGGTTCAAATGAAAAGTTTGAGTGAGGGCCACGGAAAATATTGCACCCCATCCAAACTCAGAACACAGGTGCCACTGGCTGACATTTTCTAAATTAATTTAATAAATATCACAGGATTTATAATAGCCCAAAACTGGAAACAACCTAAATGTCTTTTAATGGTAGATGATTAAACAGTGGTACCTCCATTCCATGGAATATTATGCAGCAAAAAAACAGAGAAATTATGGAGGTATGCAACACCTGGATACATCTGAAAGGAATCATGCTGAGTAAACATCAGTCTTATACACTCTGGGATTCCATCTATATAATATTCTTTTTTTTTTTGTTGTTGCCCAGGCTAGAGTGAGTGCCGGGCATCAGCCTAGCTCACAGCAACCTCAAACTCCTGGTTCAAGCGATCCTGCTGCCTCAGCCGCCCGAATAGCTGGACTACAGGCATGCGCCACCATGCCCGGCTAATTTTTTGTATTTTTATTTGAGACAGAGTCTTGCTTTGTTGTTGTTTGTTTTTTGTTTTTTTTTTTTTTTTTTAGACAGAGTCTCGCTTTGTTGCCCAGACTAGAGTGAGTGCCATGGTGTCAGCATAGTTTACAGCAACCTCAAACTCCTGGGCTCAAGCGATCCTCCTGCCTCAGCCTCCCAAGTAGCTGGGACTACAGGCATGTGCCACCATGCCCAGATAATTTTTTTCTATATGTATTAGTCCAATTAATTTCTTTCTATTTATAGTAGAGAGGGGGTCTCGCTCTTGCTCAGGCTGGTTTTGAACTCCTGACCTCGAGCAATCTGCCCGCCTCAGCCTCCCAGAGTGCTAGGATTACAGGCGTGAGCCACCACGCCA